GGGAAAAAGTCTGAATTCTTAGAAAAATATGGAATTCTGAGAAAAAAGTCAGAATTCTGAGACTAAAGTCAGAATTTTGAGGGAAAAAGTCAGAATTCTGAGACTAAAGTCAGAATTCTGAGAAAAAAGTCAGAATTCTGAGACTAAAGTAAGAGTTTTGAGGAAAAAAGTCAGAATTCTGAGAAAAAATAGAATTATGAGAACAAATAGAATTCTGAGAAAAAAGAAAAATAAAGAATTCTGAGAAAAAAAGTCAGAATTCTGAGACTAAAGTCAGAGTTTTGAGGAAAAAAATAGAATTCTGAGAAAAAAGTCAGAACTCTGAGAAAATAGTCAGAATTCTGAGACTAAAGTCAGAGTTTTGAGGGAAAAAGTCTGAATTCTTAGAAAAATATAGAATTCTGAGAAAAAAGTCAGAATTCTGAGACTAAAGTCAGAATTTTGAGGGGAAAATCAGAATTCTGAGACTAAAGTCAGAATTCTGAGAAAAAAGTCAGAATTCTGAGACTGAAGTAAGAGTTTTGAGGGAAAAAGTCAGAATTCTTAGAAAAATATAGAATTCTGAGAAAAAAGTCAGAACTCTGAGACTAAAGTCAGAATTCTGAGACTAAAGTCAGAATTCTGAGAAAAAAGTTAGAATTCTGAGACTAAAGTCAAAATTCTTAGAAAAAAATAGAATCCTGAGAAAAAAGTCAGAATTCTGAGACTAAAGTCAGAATTCTGAGACTAAAGTCAGAATTCTGAGAAAAAAGTTAGAATTCTGAGACTAAAGTCAGAATTTTGAGGGGAAAAGTCAGAATTCTGAGACTAAAGTCAGAATTCTGAGAAAAAAGTCAGAATTCTGAGACTGAAGTAAGAGTTTTGAGGGAAAAAGTCAGAATTCTTAGAAAAATATAGAATTCTGAGAAAAAAGTCAGAACTCTGAGACTAAAGTCAGAATTTTGAGGGGAAAAGTCAGAATTCTGAGACTAAAGTCAGAATTCTGCGAAAAAAGTCAGAATTCTGAGACTAAAGTCAGAATTCTGAGAAAAAAGTCAGAATTCTGAGACTAAAGTAAGAGTTTTGAGGAAAAAAGTCAGAATTCTGAGAAAAAATAGAATTCTGAGAAAAAAGTCAGAATTCTGAGACTAAAGTCAGAGTTTTGAGGGGAAAAGTCAGAATTCTTAGAAAAATAAAGAATTCTGAGAAAAAAAGTCAGAATTCTGAGTTTAAAGTCAGAGTTTTGAGGAAAAAAATAGAATTCTGAGAAAAAAGTCAGAACTCTGAGAAAATAGTCAGAATTCTGAGAAAAAAGTAAGAATTCTTAGAAAAAAGTCAAAATTCTTAGAAAAAAATAGAATCCTGAGAAAAAAGTCAGAATTCTGAGACTAAAGTCAGAATTCTGAGACTAAAGTCAGAATTCTGAGAAAAAAGTTAGAATTCTGAGACTAAAGTCAGAATTTTGAGGGGAAAAGTCAGAATTCTGAGACTGAAATCAGAATTCTCTGCAAAAGGGAGTTTTCTTCTCCTCTATCGCTACATGCTTGCTTAGTATGAGGATTCACTAGTCAGTGACTCGCTGCAACCTGCTGGGTTCCTTATATAGGAAACTTTTTACTGATTGGCTTAATGACCTGACCTGTATTGGAATGTTTACTGTGTGAAGTGTCTCGAGACAACTCTTGTCGTGATTTGGAGCTTTATAAATAAACTGAATTGAATTGAGTTTAATGACTGGCTGCTGTAAAGTTCCACCTTCAGTCCACATCCAGACACAACTATTCTCTCTTCTGTCTCACAGCAGCTGGGATGTTCATGCCCACAACGGTTTTCTGTTTTGTTCCAACAACACGCTCCTCCTCTGGTTTTGACTTTGTCTTTCTTGTGCTTGATCCTTATCCATGTTTCTGTTTGGATGCCATCTCTTCCACATCTGACCACTGGTTGGTCAGGTGCTGCAGAAACGTGCACGGTGTCAGAGAACGTCTCTTTTCTCTCCTCTTGCCTGAGCTTACGGGAGCTGACGGTGCGGTAACAAAAAAAAACTTGTGTTAAAAAACTGTTTCATAAACGTTTTTCCAGTTCCATCCCTTCTGAGTTCAGATTTCACGAATGATAAATTATGAGGATGAGATGAATGCAGGTACAAAAGAAACTAAGACATAATGAAGGCGATCAGTGACACAGCTGCAGCCGGATCATTGACATGTTGTGTTTATCGGTGATGGTCAGATGAGATCCGGGCTTTAGCTGCTGTTGCTTTTAGTTTCAGTTCTGCTCCTCAGACATGATGTGGCTTTTGGAAACATTCATGCTGCTAATAGCTGCACTCCACTACTGTGTGTTTATGTTTCTGTCTGGAGGTAGTTGTGTTGAGTCACTGGACTGAACCCGAGACCTTTTTTTTGCAGGGTGACCGCCTCTCTTGTACCGGAGCGACCCGGTGCAGCGGTCTGCTGCCAAAGCAACAGTCTGTCTTTCTGTGTCTTTATCGTCTTCCTTGTCTGGTTCGCTGGCCTTTAAAAGCCGTAGGGGCACTCGGAAAACAAACTGCGAACTTCTTCAAACAATTTAGTCCTATAAATCTGCCCAACACTGAATTTGTGGTCAGGACGACAAGCTGACAGCAAATGAGTATTGATCTTTGCTCTGGTGGCGTTGCAGCTGGTTTCTGGCTGAGTGAGTTTACTCCTACAGAGGGAGACCCGTTCAATGGGAAGTTATCAGTTCAGTGTGGAGTTTGAGCACCTTCAGTTTGCATGATGAACTGCTGCTGGCTTTTATTTGTCAAGTGGGAGAACGACTGAAGATATTAAATAAAAAATCTGATTTAGAAGGAAAAACAGGAGCGGAGGAGGTTTAGAATGTGTGTTTGAGCTGTAGAGGTCACAGATGTCTGCGGACGTGTCTCTGATTAACAGGATTTTAACAGCTCTGGTATTTATAACACCGCCCGTTGAAATCGGTTGCGGTTCTGGACTGGTGCTTTCCTCAGATGTGATTAAATGCTTCTGTACTACAGCGTGTCTACACAAGCAGATCTGCAGACAGAGAGCGACTCAGAATGTAATTCAGCCGGTTAATGACGTTTGGTTGTAAACGATTAAACATCATCTCAGCGGCCACATGTTGGCTGCTTCTGTTCGTGGAGGGGGGTGCAGCTGAAAGGTAAAGAGTGTGTGTGCGTGCGTGTGTGTGTGTGTGCGGTGGAGAGCAGGTTAATAACATGGAGAGGCTGATAGGGACCAGACTAAACACACAGGATTTGTCAGACGCTTGAAAAGGTCACAGCAGCGCTGCCGTGAGAAAAACAGGGAGTGTTCCTGTGGGTCTGCTTTTCTTATCTCAGCGTTTCTTCATCGAGCCGTAGAAAAGAATAATTTGATTTCCTCTCTTGTTTTTTTATTAAAATGAGCTTTAAGCGCTCTTGTCTGTCTGTCCTGTTCACCGTGAGGACTCCTCCCTCTCTGCGCTCGTCCATCACTGGAGTCCTAGGAGACGTTACGCGTCTGTCCCGTATTACATTAAATGGGTTCCTGTGAGTGTTGGACTTTAATTAAAAACCTGCTACTGGTCAGTGAGCCGTCGTGTCGAAGCCTGATTAAACAAGGGTTTGACTTTAGAGGAGGAACGTTTTACAGAAAGCTATAAAATATTAAAGAATGAAATAAAATAAAATGAAAGTTTCTCAGACGGAATCGAAGGCTTTGCACTGACTGAATATATTATTAGTCTGAATCACAGATTAGATTAGAGAGCGGTGTAAGTCCCAGGTGGAGATTCGTTCATTAGCTGAAGTAATTAATGTAATAGTGTGAAATAAAACAACATGAATCTGACTCTAATGGCTGCAGGCTTACTGAGTACGCAGGGCTAGGAGGGGATCCGGGTCTGAAGCTGTGGTCCTCCAGCTTCAGTCCAAGGCGTTGGTGCTTTAAAGTAGAACCTCGGTGAACGTAATCCGTTATGAAAGTAAAATAAACACAAGTAAGACCTAATTAAATTATACAAACTAATACGATAGAAGATTAAACGGCATTTCTTAGAAAACTTGGGATCAAAGTTCATTTTACTTTTAAAACTTCTACAAGTTCTAGAGAACAGAACTAAAGTCACAAGTGTTGGTTTTACGTGCGCCGCCTGAGAAAGCACTGAGCTCCACCTGTCCTCCCTCTAGGACAGACAGGACAGGTCTCCACACAGGTCCAGTCCCGAACCCGGGCCTTCTCTGGTCAGATCTGACGATCTGAACCCACAAAGCCAAGTTCTCTATTGAATTTGTGTCCCGGATGTTCTAGCAGCTGTAAGCACCTCCGTAGCTAGCTACCTACATACCTGGAGATTTATCAGGAACGTCCCAGAAGGACGGCGCCTGTTGGATCCATTGATGGTGTTTGTGTGTAGGTGGGTGAGCTACAGGTGGGTGGAGAAGTTAAAGCCGATTACATGAAAGTGGACAGCCTCTGTCTGTCCAGCTTGTATAACACCATTCAGAAGCCCTCCAGCGTGTGTTGTTTTGCTTTTATGACCTAAAGTGTTTGCTTCACGCTGACCTTTAACCCCGCCCCTGCTCCGCCTGCAGCGGTTGGGCTCAGCAGCTCGGAGATGACAGCATCCCCCTCGTGGGGGTGAGGACTAAAACACAGAGGAGAGCGCCTCACTGAGATGAGTCTGGTGCAGGAACATTACTGTGGTGGCTTAAGGTGGAGGTGGTCTCCTGCAGATCCATAACTCTCCAACCCCTGGCCACGTTTTAAAGTCTTCTTTCATGTGACAAGAGTAAATGACTGCTGGGACTAATCAAAAACACTAAATGACATCCTTGACATTCTCAGCCAAGAGCCAGATATGAAATCATTCATCAGTTTATCCCCCAAACTTCTCCCATCTCAGCTCTCATTATCGCCAAATGATGCTCAAGGCCAGCTCCGTCAGAGAGCCTGTCTCTCTCCGGGGTCGCACCGTAATTGCCTGAAGGATCTTGATCATTTAATTTGTGATGCTGTGTGTCTCTGCTGCAGCGCTGCTGCTGGGCATCTTCCTCTACACTCGCTGGAGGTCCTACAAGGGGCTGAAGGAGGGCGTGTACCACGTCTCGGCACACCACGACGGCTGGGAGGACATCCGAGAGAATGTGCTCAACTACGATGAGGAGGGAGGCGGGGAGGAGGACCAGGTACTCCCTCACTCCTGCATGCATGTCGTAGCCCCAAACAGTCCCACCCCAGAGCCGTATAGATGGATTTCTACTGATGACACCTTTGAAATATGGCTTTACTTCTGCACTCATGTGTGACTTTAATTTTAAAGACTGTCATCACAATTATTGTTAAAAAGCTGGGTAGATGATGCTTGGTACCAGCTTTGCAGTGGATTAAGTCAACTCAATTTGGAATAAAACCGAGAGTGTTTCAATTAGGCCCATGCAAAATCCTCATCGCCTCTCTCCACCAGCCAGACGAACCCACGAGCACCGAGCTGCACGGAAGGGGTTGCACGATATCAAAGCAAAAATATGTGGTACACACACACACACACACACACACACGCACACACACACACACACGTATGAGGTCAATACCAAAGATGAGGAGATGGACATAGCCAGTGTGCACGAGCAGGGAGGCCTCTTCCTCTGACCTTTGAGCTATAGCAGCTATCGTCACCCTCCAGAACCGGAGTTGGTGACCCTGTTCTAAAGCTTCTGCACAGAGAGCTGGACTGATAGATCATCACACCTTGATCTGCAGCTCCGGTCTGTTGTGGTGAAAAAGGAGATGAACCAAAAAGCACAACTCTCCACTCAGGAGGTCATGATGCACAGAACCAGATCCTGGATTCAAGCAGCTGAAGGACCTTCCTCTGTAGTGTGTCTGGGATTAAGTGTTGAGATTAGGAGAGGAGCTCCATCATCCAGAGGGAGCTTGGAGCAGATCTGCGGCTCCTCCTGCACTAGTTCAGGTGTGGGATTAAGAAACCTCTCAGCCACCTTTCTCTGGACATTCTCCAGGCATACCCCACACCGCTAGCATCGCTAACACCGCTAGCATCGCTAACACCGCTAACTGGTCTCTGAACAATGCACTGAAAAAGGAAAATCTTCAAGGCTTTAGAAGTGTCTAAATAAAACTTCCAGTCAGAGATTTTGACTTCAGTGTTTCCTCAGAACCAGACTAGTCTTTGAACACACACACGTTGTCTGGGATAATGGTGTTCTGGAGCGGGTAAGCTCCAGGAAAATCATTTTAAAGGGACGATTCATCTTTTGTTCAGATCCATAAGTAATTTCATTCGGGCACTTTTCCTGGTTCTAAAGGAAAGAGACTGAGCTTCTTAAGGTGGAAAGGTTTGTTTTTAACGAGTTAATTACTGAGCTCCATGCTGGCCTGTCGTTCCAGATTCTGGCTTCTTTTGTCTTCATCTGTGAAAATGTCCAAAAATGTCCACTAGCTGTGGTCCTTTATCCAGCCGTACCTGCAGGCACTCCTCTATAGTTTTGTTTCTGTTATAAACAAATAAAGAAAGGGAGAGATGGCACTTGTCACATAATCGGCTTTAAAAAGCCGCCCACTCCTCCTCCTCCTCCTCCATGCACGTGCATCGTTTGATCCTCCTCCTCCTCCTCCCACTCTGAGCCGTGGTCACAGTTCTGCTGGAATCGCATTAGTGATGAGGAGACTCGGCCCTGCTGCAGCGGGCTGCAGAGACTCACCTCTACTCATGTTCTAGTCCTCCGAGTCCCGATCCTCGACCAGCCAGAGGAAGATGGATCGGACAGTTAAACAGCTGCAACGTTCTTTGTGAATCTAATGAGTGCATGTGATTGTTTTTCTTTGCTGCTGATATTTCCTGTCAGATTTGATATTTGCCGCCTCGTCTCGTGTTTAACGCCACCTGCTCTGACGTCTGTTTCCAGAATGCTTACGACATGGCAGAGCTGCAGAAGTCCCTCCAGCCGAGCCCCGCCCAGTCGGTCCAGTACTGCCGCTCCAGAGCCCTGCACCACCCGCCTCCTTCCCATCACCACCACCTCCTCCACCAGGCGACCGCGGCCACGCCCTCAGCTCAGTCACTGGACCCCCTCAGCCGCACATCCAGCTCCACCACCCTGCCGCCCTCTGCTGCCTCCACGTCATCCACCACCACCACCAGCCTCCGCAGGGACGTGCCCCCCACAAGACCCCCAGCCCAGGGCCAGGCTCGCCCCCCCCAGCTTGCCAGACGCTCCTTGTCCTTCTCCAGTCAGGACCTGGCTCGCTACCTGTGTGAGATCATCCGTGACGCGGACCAGCACCCGGACTCGGGACCTTTTGACTCCCTTCAGGTGTTCTCCACTGAGGGAGGGGGCTCACCTGCCGGCTCCCTCAGCTCCTTCAGCTCAGCAGGGCTGGATGTGGGCAGCTCAGGGGACGGGGCTGGACAGGCCGTGAGGGAGGAGACGCTTGGCGAGTGGGGGCCGCGCTTTGAGAAGCTGCGGGCGCTTTATGAACGAGCCGAGGCCAGCGACCTCTGAACCCAAACCCGGCTGGGCCCTGGTGACGGGCTGCGTGAACATCAGCTGTCAGACGCTTACAGAGAAACGAGAGGAAACGGACAAGTCTCGCTCCTGCCGACCAAGCAGGTGGCCTAACAGACACATGAAACGGATCCCTGTGAGACTTTCCTCACCTCCATCAGAACCGCTCACTAATGGGTCACCGGTGCAAACGGGCTCCAGTTAGACAAGTTTTATCACCTTGCTGCTGAACAAAACTTCTGTACATAAGAACGACGGTTCCACCTGATCTGGGACCAGATCTGCAGAGATCCAGAGAAGCGTGTTCCTGCAGCTTCTGTTAATACTCGTACGAGAGGAAAACACAACAACTCTGACCATCTCTGGGCGCCTGGGCCGGGTTTTATTTATTTGAATTGTTCTTTTGTTGCCGTCTTCTGCTGGGTTGGGTAATTCTGTATTTGTTGGCTGTTTCAAAGCTCAGCGGGTTGTACGACATCAAGCTCTTTCTGCTCAGTACCGCGCTCGCGTCTTCATTTGATTTCCTATTCTCATTCGCACGCCGCCGCCGATCGTTCCCGCTCACCCAAGGGGGCTGCTGGGGCCGCACAAAAATTCAAACAGATTCGTAACAAAGAGGTGGACGTGTGGACGGAGGCGGGGGGGGGACGCCAGCTCTGTTGCTGTTTGACGCGCGCGCCTTCTCAGGCATACCAAACGCCGGCGCTCAGCGCGCCGACCGCACCGCAGAATACAAACTACAGGCAGACGCTTTCCAAGGTGACTACTCAACAAACACAAATAAAGGCAGCGGGGGACTGGAGGAGATGGATGAGCGTGATACACCAGCCACAACACACTCACTGAACTTATAATTGTGCATTAAAGTCCTCCGGTGAATTCCCACAACCTTCCTCGTGCCACAAGGGCTGATGGGTGTTTTTTCCTGCAGCTCTTCCCAATCCCGTTCCTGGTGAGAACAATTTATCTTTAAAGAACAAAAAAGGCAAGAAGCAGAAATACAGCAGCAGAAGGGAAGCGGGAGCAGCTGCTCTCACCTTTCATAAAGAGGAGGATGACATGGTGGAGGGTTGAATCAGGGAGGCGGAGAGCGGCTGGCACTTTGTTACACAGCAAACACACATCTGTCCTCTCCCACTTTTCATCTGGGGTTTCGGTTTCTTTGTGTCCAAGTCGGCAGCGGGAGGTTAAAGGTCAGGAGTGTGTGAAAAGATGTCAGGTCCCTGATCCTAAAGGAGCTGATGGCTGCCTGGACAAACCAAAGGTCCAGGCCCAGATTGCAGCTCTCTACTGACTTGTAGTTTTCAGTCGAAGCTCCTGTCGTGCGTCGAAACGACTCGGCCAACAGTCACGAGGCTCAGAGCCGATCCTGAAAGGCTTCTGTTGATTTTCTCCACTGGACGACAGGGATTTAGGGATGTTTGTATTTAATTCCTCCTTTGAGCGAGGCTGAGCCTGAGCCACGGAGGTGCAGGGTGGAGACGCTTCATCCTGCGCTGAATCAACATTCATCTGTACCATAATTCCTACATGTTGTGTTCGGGGTGCAGACTTGTTGTGAATAAGGTTCATGTTTGTACCTCATTTGTAAATACAGAGATTAAATATTGCTTTTTGTCAGGAAAAGCAGCATAGGTTTGAAATGTGCAGCATAAGAGGAAAAAGAGTTTAACTGAACATATTTTCTACCCACATGATGGTGATGAGCTTTCGACGGTTATATAAGTGTTTTGTATTTGCTTTGATCTCCTTTTTTCTCAATAAATCCATTTATTTGCAGCAGAGCCTGAACTGAATCATGAATGCATCTGAAAACAGGAGCTGCTGCAGGAGCGATGCAGAGAAACCTGGGTCCGATTTTCAGGGTTTGGAGACGCAATAAAAGTTTGTATTTCAGTTTTGCTAAACAATGCAATTGGCAAGAGGGTATTATTACATGTATTTTGTCTTCTGAAGGCTAAGCGCTCATGCACGCTTCGTGTTGCTGTTTTAAAAATTCATAGCATTTAAAACATTTTGGATTCTCTTCGGTTTTGTTGAATTTTGTTTGTGCCTCCTTGTGTATTCTTTCTTTTTACCTTTCCTACATTTGTTCCGTGTTTCTTCATCTATCCACTCTGTTCGTGGTCTGTTGTCATGAATTCAAAAAGGGTAAACAAGAAGAGGAGTATCACACGCTTCCTATTGTAGAATATATCTGAGCGGGCATAACTCCGTAACGGCACCACATCCACCCATGTTTCTCTTTGCTCCTATCTCTAAGCGTCGATGCTTCCCGGGGGAAACTTCATGTTTGGACATCCGGGAATCGGGATTCTGTAGCAGCTTTTCTTGACTCTTATGGCAGCACTCCATGTTTTCTTTTAGTGACTGAACAATCAAATAGAAAATTCAGTTTAATTAGTCGGTGTCGACATGTTTTTTAAATAATTCACTATCAATGACGACTAAAGTCGTCATTTGCATGTTTTTACTGTGTGGGCGTCGGACGAGCCCCCGCACGGTGAGAACAAACATCCCAGCTCTAAAGCCGATCTTCATCCACATACGTCACACGTCACGTGATCAGGAAGCAGAACATCCATGTGTTAGGAGATCGTTTTGGGCCGTTGCTGTAAAAAAAAGTGAGGCGCGAACCGGAGAAGCTTCTGCCGATCACAATTCAGCAACGGATTATGAAAGAACGGATAACGCTTGAAACACGCGGATTCTTCCTGATGTAAGAGGTGAGTCTCCACTTTGTTTTGGTTGTTTTGGCGTCGACATTATCCGAGCGCGCAACGTTCTGTCACTCTTAAAAAAACAGTAAAAACGGTGAAAAACGCTGGCAGCAAATGAGTTAAGCTAATGTAGGCAGCAGGGGGATATACCACTCCTGAATGAAGATGAAATTTTTTTAAATGTTAAGATGTAAATCCAATTACAATTCATGTTTAATTCAATTCAATTCAAACATACTTTATTAATCCCAGAGGGTAATTAGTTTCAGTACACACAATTCTGAGATCAGACATACATGCATAGACATGATAATAATTGGTGACTGTGGTCATTCGCAACCCGAGTCGCGCTACCGTAGTAGATCAAGAAAGCGTTAAAAGTCCACATTGATTAATAATTTAGCCCTCAAGAACAAAGCTGCAGCTGCTGCTACCTCTGAGGGCCAGCAGTGGCGCCAATTCACCACCTGGTAGCTGCCTCGTCCAATCATGTTCACCAAGCTTCAGTAAGTCTAGCTGCTAACCTGTCACAGAGCAGGTTTGTTCTCCAGCAGGTGTTACCATGGTGAATGGGAGGGGCTTCAGGCTAGCCACATCAGTGTTATTGAACTCTGGGATTTAAACTGGGATTTTCAAAGAGCCTGGATTTTGGGATTGGCTCGCTACGTGGTATACCCCCCTGATTTTGGGAGTCTTATTTCCTGATATCTGGACATCTCTCCTCTGATTGGCTAACAGCAACACAACTCTACCACTGTTGGCTTTGCCACGTTGAAGTTTTACCTCCACAAATAACACATTGCTAATGCTAACAGTTAGCTTCTACTAGCCGAGACATTCTCTGCCGTTTCCTGGACGTTAAACCAACAGCAGCCTTCCCCGTCGTGAGCCAAGATGGGTGAGTCCATGAATGTGAAGTGACAGTGTGATGTAGATCTGTCCGGCTTTTCTAATCCAAAAGTTTCACCGTCTGTTTTCAATGTGAAGCTAATGCAGCAGATTGGTGTAGGAGACTATTGTCATGTGCAGCCTGCATGAAACAGTGATTACAATCAGAAATAATCATTAAAAACTGTTTTTTTCCATTGTTGCACACTTCTCATTCAAAACCAGCCCGAGCAGTAAAACAGCCATCCATTATTTATTCTTGTGGGATAAATCATTTAATCACCACTACACAGCTCAACTCTGCCTCCTGCTGACATGAAATTGCATCTAAAGCCTCTTTAAAAGGTGAAGGCAGGACTTTTGTAGCCGTTAGATAATCAGAAATATCCAGTAAACATGTTTTTAAAACCATACGGACAGAGCTGTGATAGATGACTAGCTGTGTAGGGATGAAAATAAAGGTCTGGACGATCGTGCAGCGTGAAGCTATGGGTTCCAGGATTCACTGGATGCTCTTATTTTGGCGAGCTGCACAGCAGCACTTCAGGTGTTTCACTTGAGAATTAAATTCAGGGCTTTCCTACAGTATGAATAATCATGTTTGGTTTAAAATCAAGTCAAAACAATGACTTTCACTCATATCCGTGTTTAACTTTTCTAATGCTTCTTCGTCAGGTTGCCATGGGAACACGTGAGAGAGAGCATTAGGCTACAGCCATGTAGCAATTGTATCAGATGTTGGGGTTACCATCGGTGCCCGGGGTCCTGACCGAGCGAGCATCTGTGACAGAAGGGACCGGCAGCACACGGCGGCCCGCTGAGAGGCTCAAGCGGGCAACAGGAACAGATTCGTGACTGGAGGGGTTCTCATAATGATGGATAAGGAAACACAACAGTTATGAGAGGGAAAGTAGTACTTTTATTAAACAAAACTTCTACTGAACACAGATGTTTCATAGTACATGCATGTCTGCACTGATGGTGCGATTGGCACGAGGACGGCCAGCGTAAACATGAAGGTGTCAACACTGTAGGAGTTTGGAGATGGAAACGAGCAAAGGCACCAAACCGCAACCATCTTCTGACATCAACACGTTCTGATGCTGTTCTGGGTAACGGCTCCTACGGAGGTCCTGATCCACGTCACCCAGACGCTGGTGGTGGGTGTTAGAAACACCAACATGTGTCTGCTGGTGCAAAAACCCTCAAACAACAACTCATCAGGATGTTTCGGGCTTCAGCATCAGATGATACAGATATTAGAAAGTTTCAGGCTCATGTTTTTAGACTGAGTCTCAACTAAAGAGCTTCTGGATGTCCCCTACCTGATTTCACATGAGTCTGAGGTGGACTCTGCTGTCCACCTGGAAGGGCGTGAATTTACTCCCATGCAAATGTAAAAGGTGTTCATCTGCATGCTGAAGCTAGGAGAGATCTATTAAATCAGAATCCTAAATACTGGGATAGTTATTTCAAGAGTTTTCCAGCTAGATGTAGACCTAAACAGGATTTTACAGATGTCAATAACACATTTGGTCTTCTAAAGTCCAGCGTCAACAATATTCTCTCAAACGCTGTCACAAAGCTTCAGAAGAGCTTCTCACTGGGATTGGGGGGGTGGGGGTTCAAATCCCACTCAGGTCATACTAAAGACATTAACAGCAGGACTTAACGCCTCCCTGCTCGAGGGGTTGGATGTGGGTTAAACCACCAACTGGTTCCCGAGTGCAGCCACTGCTGCAGCTCATGGCTCCCCTCCATGGGGATGGGTCGGATACAGAGATGTAATTTCACCCGTGCGTGATGACATCTGAGAGGTTCTGCAGCGTCTTTGTAAAGCAGCTGGCATGTATCGGAGAACATGATGACTGGTTGTGTTCATTAGAGAACCCCGGAGACCGGCAGACACCCCTGAAGGAACCGCTAATCCGTGTGTATGGAAACGACCAGCGCTGAGAATAATATCACGTTAGGACACTCCTATTAGGCAGACATAATGGAATCACTTTTCTCTCAAATAAAGCGATCCAACATCTCTCTAATTAAACATCCCATTAGTAGGCAGGACAGCAGGAGTGAGCGCTGCAGCTCGCCGCTGATCCCATTGGTATGCATGAGAACCGAGCCGCGGCGTTAACCAGCAAGTGTGGAAGCCACCGGAGACACGGTCCTTGTTAACATCAGCACAGATGCTGCAGGACAGCATGGCTGCCTCGTCCAGCTCAGGAAGGGTTTCGGGCTGTTGAGAAGCCATGTTTGGATGTTTTTCTCCTCTTTGCCTTTTCAAACCACAAAGCCTCTGTTTGATATGCGAGTGTTGCCCACCTCTCTCCTGAATTATTCTGGATTGCGGAGGGGAATCAGAGCAGTTGTCAGCCGGCTGCAATTTCCTCTGCCCTTACATTATTCATGCATGTTCGTACGCGAGAGTTAGACGAGTGAAAAGGTTGATGAGAGTCACGAAGACAACAGACGAACACCAAGGCAATCACAACTAAAGAGTCACCAATATCACCGGGAGCCTCGGCGTCACAACAACCAAGCATTTAGACCAGATGAAGGAAAGCCACAATGGTCGCCTGGTAACAGAGAGCCTGTGGTGAAACGTGAACCCACTCTGGGTTTCCTCAGCAGGCCATCAAGCAGCACGGGAACGCCGTTGTCTCCCAACCCCGGGGTCGTGTTGACTGCTGGGCACATCAGGCTTTCTGTTGGTCCCAGGGGCTCTCCACAGATGGAAGATCATTGTTATCTAAACTTAGTCTGAGTTTTTACGGCCACCTGGAACCGGTCTGGCTTTAGCGAAGGGCTGCTGAACTACGAGACCTGAACAGAGTCCAGGCCGAAGAGCGGCGTGAGCTGGCTAGAGTCCGCCAGAAAAACACACAGAATACAAATAAATGAGCACATAGTCAAGACACTTTGGTCTAAATAGCAGAAACTAACACATTTACTCAAAATGAGCAACTTATTAGTTGCTGTGGATAAGTAAAACTGTCTGTTTTGTGTCTAAAACTGGACCAGAGTTGACCCAGAGCTGCACTGGAGTGTCAGCATAGCAGAACGGCTGTAAACCACACATGATGGGAACAGGTCCCACGGGCAGCTGGGTGAACAGCAGCAACATGAGTCTCGTGGGTTTTCAGCCATCTTGAATCACAAGTCTTCCTGTTATTGTGAAACTGGAATGATGCTGAATTTGTCCCGGTTCCAGGTCCGACATCACACCTCTGATTCGCACACACACACACACATACATAGACTTATAAAATTCAGGTTGAAAATTCAACAGTCCTGCTCACTTTGGACTCAAATGTCCAAAATGAATCGAAGCACAACTAGTGTGGTTTAGCCAGCTAGCATGAGAGCTGGTGGTTAACTTGGAGCTCTGATTATAAACGGAAGTCTGAGCAGGACCTTTGTTCACCAGCTAGCTTCGGTCTGTGGTCTTTGAGGTCATCATGAAGCTTTTAGACTGCAGCTTTCACATCAGCATGAATCAGACGGACTCTGACCACCGAGATGAATAAACCAGCCAGAGGGTTCAGGGCAGAGGGTCGATGAGATTCACGCGTCTGAATGCTGTCTGCGTTTGTATAACTGACTGATGCTTCAAGTATCTTCTACTTAATTGTACTTTTATTTATTACTATTTATCAGTTTTGTAGATTTTGTGTTTTACCGTTTTATTCTATTATTTTAATTATATTTCACTTCTAATCCAACTTGTAATTTAGATAAAGGACAGATTAAGTTTTGTTTTCTGTTGTTCCTGTTTATTTAAAGGCTGAAGCTGCTGCTGAAGCTGCTGCCGAAGCTGCTGCTGCCGAAGCTGCTGCTGAAGGCCTGAAGCTGCTACTGAAGCTGCTGCTGAAGGCCTGAAGCTGCTGCCGAAGCTGCTGCTGAAGGCCTGAAGCTGCTGCTGAAGCTGCTGCCGAAGCTGCTGCTGAAGGCCTGAAGCTGCTACTGAAGCTGCTGCTGAAGGCCTGAAGCTGCTGCCGAAGGCCTGAAGCTGCTACTGAAGCTGCTGCTGAAGGCCTGAAGCTGCTACTGAAGGTGCTGCTGAAGGCCTGAAGCTGCTGCCGAAGCTGCTGCTGAAGGCCTGAAGCTGCTACTGAAGCTGCTGCTGAAGGCCTGAAGCTGCTACTGAAGGTGCTGCTGAAGGCCTGAAGCTGCTGCCGAAGCTGCTGCTGAAGGCCTGAAGCTGCTGCCGAAGCTGCTGCTGAAGGCCTGAAGCTGCTACTGAAGCTGCTGCTGAAGGCCTGAAGCTGCTGCCGAAGCTGCTGCTGAAGGCCTGAAGCTGCTGCTGAAGCTGCTGCCGAAGCTGCTGCTGAAGGCCTGAAGCTGCTGCTGAAGCTGCTGCCGAAGCTGCTGCTGAAGGCCTGAAGCTGCTACTGAAGCTGCTGCTGAAGGCCTGAAGTTGCTGCCGAAGCTGCTGCTGAAGGCCTGAAGCTGCTGCCGAAGCTGCTTCTGAAGCTGCTGCTGAAGGCCTGAAGCTGCTGCTGAAGGCCTGAAGCTGCTGCTGAAGGCCTGAACAACCTGGTCCATAAAGGTAAATAATGACTGGTTTGCCTCTCGGTGCACCTTGGAAGGAGGTGAAGTTTGACCAGAAATGGCTGCATGAGTGATTATAAACGAAGAGCGATCCTCAGCCAGATCCATCTCCACTCACAACCTTCATGCTGCTGAGGAGCTGCAGGAATCCACACCATGCTATCAGCTGAGCTCAGTGGAGGTTTGATCTCTCCAGCTAAAATCCAACCGGTCAGACTCCCAACCAGCCTGGAACGACTCGTGGAAAATGATATAAAATAACTACGATGCTGTGAGACTCATGCCAGTGCTTCACATATAAATCTGGGATGTTATAAACTCTCCACCGTGACTTTAGTTTTCTAGATTATCTAGATTAATGTAGCCCGTTACTGAGGAACTAGATTAAACCCTAACACCATCTGAGGTTAAATCATGACTGGAGAGCATGTGACCTTCAGAAACTCATCGTGTTGAGGAAGCAGATCTTTCCTGCTTCAGACAGCAGCGGTCCAGGTCCGGCTCAGATCACAATCCTACCCGGATCCCAGCAGGAGGTGGAGCCGAGCGGAGACGGAGGATTCAGTCTGGTCTAGTCCTCCTCCGGTCTCTGCTGGTTCTGGTCCTGTTACTGAGGCGGATGGGGCTCTGAGGAGGTCTTGGTGCTTTTCTTACGTTTCTTTTTGAGCCGGTAAACATAGAATGTTTTGTTCTGGAAGGCTCTGGTGAACAGTGCTGTGTAAGCCGCTGCGTCGGTCTTTATGGCCTCACAAAATCTCTGGTGGGCGGCAGGGACGAGGTCTGGGTCGTTGTCTCCGGGTCCGTCCATGACCTGATGGAAAACCAGAGGACATGTTTAGTAACTAAAGCAGAGAGAAGGTCAGCAGGTCTGTTTCTGACCCAACAGCTTCACCGCTGAAGGACACCGCCACAGCGACTTCGACTCCGTAAACAACAGATCTAAGACCATGGGTGGAGCCTCTCTCCAGCGGTCAATGGGCAATCAGGCGGGGTACACCCTGGACAGACAGCCAGTGCATCGTAGGCCAACACAGAGACACACAGGACAAACAACCAAGCACACACACACACACACACACCCAAGGACAATTTAGACAGACCAATCAACCTAACAGTCGTGTTTTTGGACTGTGGGAGGAAGCCGAAGTACCCGGAGAGAACCCACGCATGCACAGGGAGAACATGCAAACTCCATGCAGAAAGATCCCAGGCTGGGAATCGAACCCAGGACCTTCTCGCTGCAAGGCAACAGCTCTAACCACTGCGCCACTGTGCAGCCCCACACGACAAGATATGGAGTCTTATTTGCTGATATTTGGATCAGTGGCGGTCCGTCCATACGGGGCGCTAGGGCGCCTCCCCAACAGCCTCACAGGAAGAGAAAGAAGAAGATAGGAATCACAAAATATAAAATAAAACATGAAAATTAAACTAAACGAGTGTACAATCTGCATTTAAGTGTAGTTTAAAAATGTTCTCTCTAACTTTTACCACGACTGAATGGTCTTGTGACGTATTTCCTGTTCTTCTGAGGCGCAGCCATCTCTACCGTAGACCTACGCTATAACTGGTGCATGGGCGCTGGACCCCCCTCTAGTGGGAGAGTCGCTGGGCGCAGACGTTTGTGACCAAAACTAGGCAGAAGATGGACAGTGAGGATGGAGTACTTTAGGAGATGGAGAGTGAAGGTCAGGTGGCTGGGTCGCTCTGACTTTGTCGGGACTAGAAACGATTACTTCTGTTTTAGAATCAGATGAAGAAAGTTTTCGGTCAGCCATTCATCATGAAAACGATCGAGCAGAGGTTTGGTGGAGTCAGAGGGTTTAAGCTAAAAGAAGATTTGGCAGTCATCTGCATATAAGTGGTATGAAACAGCATGCTCTGTGAGAATGGCTCCTAAAGCCAGAATATAGAGGAAACCGCTAATGGGCTGAGGATGCAACCTTGAGGGACCCCGCAGGAAAGGGAGACTGGAATAAGTAGTCATCCAGCATGACCCTGAGGGTCCTGTTAGAAAAGTAAGAGCAAAAAACAGTCAAGGGCCAAACCTAAAATAACACAAGCCTGGCGGAGTTCTGCTATGTGGTGTCATTGCTAATGGTTAGCATCTACTAATCGAGGCATGCTCTACTGTTTCCTGGAAGCTAAACCAACAACAGCCTTTATGTCATGAGTCAAGATGGGTGAGTCTGGAGATAGGTGTAGGAGACTATTGTCATGTTTAGCCTGCACGAACAACTCAGAGCGATCGATTATTTTCAAAAACCAAGACAAAGAAGTTTTCTCTGTGAACTTGGTCTTTAAACCCAAACACCTGAGACTGGTCACGTGCACTGTGGTCAGTATCAAACTCGCTGGACCGGGACGCAAACTGCTTTTACTCCTTTCCTCCAGACAGACATCTGGAACGCTGCTGCGCGGCTCATCACAATAAGATCCTCAAGCATCGACTCAAACACACACAGTACCGTAGGGTATGATCTGTTTGTACAGGTGCTGGCCAGTAAATTAGAATATCATCAAAAGGTTGAAAATATTTCAGTAATTCCATTCAAAACGTGAAACTTGTACATTATATTCATGCAATGCACACAGACCAATGTATTTCCGATGTTTATTACGTTTAATTTTGATATTTATAGGTGACAACCAATGAAAACATCAAATCTGGTATCTCAGAAAATTAGAATATTCTAAAGGCCAATGAAAAAATGTTTGTTTCTCTAATGTTGGCCAACTGAAAAGAATGAACATGAAAAGAATGTGCATGTATAGCACTCAATACTTAGTCGGGGCTCCTTTTGCCTCAATAACTGCAGTAATGCGGCGTGGCATGGACTCGATCAGTCTGTGGCACTGCTCAGGTGTTATGAGATCCCAGGTTGCTCTGATAGTCGTCTTCAGCTCCTCTGCATTGTTGGGTCTAGCGTATTGCATCCTCCGCTTCACAATACCCCATAGATTTTCTATGGGGTTAAGGTCAGGCGAGTTTGCTGGCCAATCAAGGACAGGGATACCATGGTCCTTGAACCAGGTGCTGGTGGTTTTGGCACTGTGTGCAGGTGCCAAGTCCTGTTGAAAGGTGAAGTCTGCATCCCCATAAAGTTGGTCAGCAGCAGGAAGCATGAAGTGCTCTAAAACTTCCTGGTAGACGGCTGCATTGACCCTGGACCTCAGGAAACAGAGTGGGCCAACACCGGCAGATGACATGGCACCCCACACCATCACTGACGGTGGAAACTTTACACTGGACCTCATGCAACGTGGATTCTGTGCTTCTCCGCTCTTCCTCCAGACTCTGGGTCCTTGATTTCCAAAGGAAATGCAGAACTTGCTTTCATCAGAAAACATAACTTTGGACCACTCAGCATCAGTCCAGTCCTTTTTGTCCTTGGCCCAGGCGAGACGCTTCTTGCGCTGTTTCATGTTCAAGAGTGGCTTGACACACGGAATGCAACACCTGAATCCCATGTCTTTCATGAGTCTCCTCGTGGTGGTTCTTGAAGCGCTGACTCCAGCTGCAGTCCACTCTTTGTGGATCTCCCCCACATTTTTGAATGGGTTTGTCGTCACAATTCTCTGCAGGGTGCGGTTATCCCTAGAGCTTGTACACTTTTTTCTACCACATTTTTTCCGTCCCTTCGCCTGTCTGTTAATGTGCTTGGACACAGAGCTCTGCGAACAGCCAGCTTCTTTAGCAATCACCTTTTGTGTCTTGCCCTCCTTGTGCAAGGTGTCAATGATTGTCTTTTGGACAGCTGTTAAGTCAGAAGTCTTCCCCATGATTGTGGTGCCTTCAAAACAAGACTGAGGGACCTTTTAAAGGCCTTTGCAGGTGTTTTGAGTAAATCAGCTGATTAGAGTGGCAGCAGGTGTCTTCTATATTCAGCCTTTTCAGAATATTCTAATTTTTTGAGATACCAAATTTGGAGTTTTCATTAGTTGTCACTTATGAATATCAAATTTAAATGTAATGAACATTGGAAATACATTGGTCTGTGTGCATTGCATGAATATAATGTACAAGTTTCACGTTTTGAATGGAATTACTGAAATATTTTCAACCTTTTGATGATATTCTAATTTACTGGCCAGCACCTGTATATCCAGAATGATGGGGTGTCATTCTGCAGCTAAAGCATGGTTGAATGATGCAAAGTGGCCTTATTACATTGTTTTGTGATCATTTAGAGCTACAAAGTAAATCTGTGCACCTGGACCACAAAACCATCATCCATATTTCCACAGAAACTCTGGATAATCCCTGGCTTAACTCAGTGATTAAAATACAAAACAAGGAGAAACAAAACTGTAGCATCGAGCACGAAGAAAGAGAAACAGAAGAGGTGGACAAGCAGTAAAAGTGTGAAATTAAGGCCAGAAAGAGAAGAAGAAAGGAGCAGACAGGAGACGCACTCCCAGCATTACTTCAATAAAGCTGTCCACATGTCAGACGCTGTGTGACATTTACGGCGCCACAAACACACTCCGACTCTCTTCTCCACTGTTTCATGTGTCTTACAGCCAGTCTGAAGCTCGTCTCACCTCTAGTAATCCAAAGAGCTGTCGAGGCACAACCAACATGGCGAGGGGGGGGGCACAGATAAGAAGTGAGACTATTGATCTCTCTGCGGAGGCTGAGAGCCTCCACCGAGCACCAGACGTTGACAGAAGGGAGGACACACACACACACCACATGAGTCACGTTGAATAAATGCCACCCACATGTCCGTTAGCCAGGTCGAGCAGGTCCCGCAGTCTGCAGCCTCTCCGGTGCCTCCGTTCATAACAGATGCTGTTCTCCAGAACCACGTAGTCCGCCCCCACCGCCCTCAGGATGTCATAAACGTCCTCCGGGGACCGACGGGCGTACACCTGATAGACCTGCGCACACACACACACACACACACACACACACAGTTATTTTGACAGAAAACACCAAAAGCGCTGATGGGAGAAAACGTCTCCTGAGACGTAATTATTCTCAGATTAAAGATGGAGTCGTGTGTAATCTGTTTACCAAAGATTAAAATGTGAGCGGAAACAAAACAAAAACAAAAACCCAGGGAGAAGGATAACAAGTGTTAGAACAAATCTTTAGGTTTTCTTTTTAGTGATGGAAGAATTCAGGTTTTAACCATCAGAGTGATGATCCACAGTGATCGGCTGGTACCACTCAGACACGTTCCATACTAAACCAGAACCTCTGCTTCTCTGCAGGTGGTTTACATTTATTACCCTGCCTCTGATTCCAGGTGAGTCATTTGGTTGTAACGGTGTCAGAGATCCTCATGGGACGCCTTCGGCGATTTCCTTCTGAGTTACGACTAATCTGCACAAGTGAATCACAAGTCCCACCCAGCAACTCAGCCTGCCCATTTCCAAGTACATGGTCAAAGGCAGGTTTGGTTTCTGAACTGGCCCAGGAAGTAGCACCCTGTAAATGGTTACATGGCCTGAGCAGCAGTAGCGGAGGTGGTTTCCAGGGTAACAAGCCCAGTCCTCCCCACTGGTTCTCTGATCTAGGTCCCAGTGACTTCTCTCCCTCTCTCAACCCTTCAGTGGAGACGGAGACTAGAGATCTCCTGACCAGCACCAGACTGTGAGGAGTCCATCATCCTGGAGGCTCTGCAGCTGTTACGTTAGGAATTACCGTAAATCCTCTAATACAGGCCAGTATTCAATTAAAGGCCAGGTCTCCAATTTTGGCCGGTGTCGGAGTCAGCGGAGGTGAATAATGGCCGGTCTCTTATTGTGGCCGGATGGAATGTGGTAACAAGCAAGTACGGGGGGCGGTTGTGTTATTGTCTCACTTTTGATTTGCCAGTGATAGACCGCGAGGGTAACTTTAACTGTGCGGAGACGAAGAGGAGGCGAAAATTTGATATCAAGTTCAAAGAGAACGTGCTGATTATGCTGCAGAACACTCTGGGGAGCAGTAGCAGGGGTTGTATGAACTAGTCAACTTCACTATAGTGCAGGGGTCGGCAACCTGTTCCCATCAAAGAGCCATTATTACCCATTTCCCACAGTAAAGAAAACACTGCAGCAGCCGCGGCGTTGTGGGCGGGGCCTACCCTCAGACAGCAGAGAGCTGCTTTAACCAATCACAACAGGTGACAGCGGCCAGCACCGGTCGCTCGTGTACGTCAAAGTTATCTTTCATAAGAAGATAATCAATAAAACGATTTATATAAAATGGATCCAGAAGTTGTAGCCCGTCTCTGCCGACAATATTTTGATATTTTTCACCCTGTTGGTGGTTTTACTGAGCAGGTGCCACTTTAGTCATACGTTTCTTTTTAAAACATGTTTAGACTGTTCAGAATACAAATCCAGGCTCTGTCACGTTTGATTGTTGTAATTAAACTTTGTAGGTGGGGAAGGTCAGAAAAGGATCCGATCATTTTGTTTTTCCCTCGTTTACAGCGACGGAGATAACGGCGCGGTGCGCCTGGCTCTGTTGTTAATCAAGTTTAATTTTATCTCTTTGCAACATTTTTCACAAGAAAACAGAACAGTTAAAAGCAGGGCTTGTGTTGTGTTGACCGGATAGTTCCCGTATTTGACCGTTTATTTTGACGGAGAAAGAATAGAAAGAATTACCCCGACGCATGCAGACGAACTGACATTTTATTCTACGCACATCGCAGATGTAACTAAATCACTCAAGAAAAGATTCCCATCTGAACATCTGAGCTGGACACTGCTCAGCGCAGCTCACTGTCAGCGCGTACATAAGGTGCACAGCGAGCTGAAGTTGTGGAGAGGGGCTTGGAGCGCGTCGCAGAACCAGAGCGCATGCAGGAAGATTCCTCCGACTGAAGCGAGACTTGTCACTTAGAAAATGTTCCCTGATGATGAAACTTTGGCTGAATAGCGCTTCTTCCTGTCTCCAATGTGGCGACGCATTCAAGAGCTGAGGAGAATCCCAGAATCTCGCATCTTCAACTCAGGAAGCACCGATATGATTACGCACAAGCGTGACCGGTCAACCCGGTCTCACAGTAAGACCGGGTTGGGCCTGTTCAGGTTTACGCAGACAATCTTTACATTTAGAATTGGCATACAGATGTAAAATTAATGCAGTAAAATATAAAGCATTTTATTTAAATATCCATTCATTATTTTACAAGCACAGAGAGCTGCATCAGATGGATGGAAGAGTAACAATCAGGTGTCGCCACCTCAAAAACTAATTTAACACGCGATCGTTCATGTCGGCTCATTTCCTTTGATGTTTTATGTCTTTTATTTGTGCCTGATGCGTTTCGCTGTGGAGCGGGGCACATCACCTTGTCATCCGGTGACGCACCGATCACTGATGCGGCTGGCAAGCAGCGAGCACTCCGCTGTTTTTGCGGTCGGTAGATCTTTTAGAACTGCAGTTCAAAGGTAACTCATGAGGTGAATATATATGAACCCAGGTAGCAGTTTCTCTTTAGGATTGAGAGGAGATGCAGGAAGATAATAAACAGGCAGGACAGAAAAATAGTCAAATAAAAACAAGTTAGTTTTTGTACCTGGTGGTTGCAACAAACAGACACCATTGAAGGTAATCAGAAGTGAGGAACAGAAAATGAAATAATTATTTTAATGTTTAGAGCAGCAGGAACTCTGAGAGGCTGCAGGTGCATCAGTGAGTTTGTGGCCGCTGCGCAGGGGGAGGGGGGAGAGGGCTGAAGCAGGAACTACCGTTGTTAAAAGAAATGTGTTTAACTTTGAAAATGTGGGCGCAATTTTAATTGTCAAAAACTCCAGCGAACCATTAGTTCATTTTGCTCAAATAGAAATAAAGGCCCGCCTCTAATACTGGCCCTCCTTCCAATAAAGGCCTGGAGCTTGATGAGCTTGAGTCAAATACAGGCCCGGGCCTGTATTAGAGGATTTATGGTATGTCAGAAATGGTGCCAAGAACCGGTTACTGAAGTCAGATAGCATTACTCTGTTAAGGTTATCGGACAGTGTGTATTCCGGAGGCGTGGCTTGGGGGAAGCCTGAACAATGAAGGTTGGACCTTTGAGTTGTGTGTTTTAAGACTGCAGCTTGAACAGATATGTCCAGGATCATCTACTCTACCTCCAAGTATGCAGATCCTAGCCTCCCCCACATTCAGCAACGGGTCTGGTAATGAGAGCAGAGCAGTTTTCTCAGCTCTCCGTTAAATCTCAGAGGCACTCACACTTTATGTCTTTTGCTGGAGCTTGATGGCCTCTACCAACAAACAGAGCTGGTCTATAGAGAAGGAAAACCGATAACGCCATAACGCTGCTCAGCGAGCTCCTCGTAAAGCCGGGCGTACACTGTGCGACTTTTTCACTCGTAGCACTCAGCTTCAGCTCAAACTGTACGACTTCCTCCCAGGGCAGATCTCACGAGTCATGTGCTCACACTGTACGACCCAGTTCTTGGATGCGACCTGACTGCTCACACTGTAGGTCTGGTAGCAACACGTCGGACCTAAAGATATGCTAAAAATAGCAGTTTTTACGCAACATGTCAGACTTTTTTGTCTTGTTTTGCCTGTTGTCCTTCGGGAGTGCTGCAGGAGGACACACAGGGATTTATGGGGGTTGGATGAGGAAAACGAAATAAAGAAAGTAAATCTGTGTTTGTGATCAGTTTAATTTGACATGAACACGACAAACACGCTTTCTTGACAATATTTATGAGTAAAAAAAACGTGTAGAAATAAAAACGAACAACGCTATTAGGGAAATAGCGAGCGAGCGGCGTTGATGCAGGATTGCGCATGCGCCGTGAGCGGTTCTGATACTTTTTGGGTCGCAGCTGCTCGCAGCGCCGCTTCAACAGTGCGATACCCTCACGAGGGACGAGCAAAATATCAAACACTCCAGAAGTCCGTGCGAGCTCACGATTGCTGATCGGTAACTGGTCACGTGGTGTTAATCGCCTCTCGTAACCCCCTGTACACTACACGACCGCTCTGCGCAAAACTCGCCCCGATCTCGTGGATTCTCGCACGACTGGAAAATCGGCTCAAAAAAGTGAAAAAGTCGCAAAGTGTACGCCCGGCTTTACAGATCTAGTGTTCCCTTTTCCCAATCAAACTGAAACAAGCAGCCCGAGGAGGGAGGCCACAGAGCAGCGCGAGCCCTCACACAGAATGCTGCCACTGCAGAATCTCCACACCGAGAGGTGCCGTCCTGCAACTCTGCAGGCCTGGCATGGTTTCACTGCAGCTCTGACGACGACCACCTCGCTCTCCAGTCCAAACAGAAAGCCTTCATCAGGCTGAGTGAGGCTGGAGGCCACTTTCAGGCATGGCATAGAAAATATGCAGCACCATCTACAACCTGGGAAGTTCACAGACATGGCGGGCAGAATCTGATGTAGACTTAGGGGAGTTAGAGGCTTCGGTGTAAAGATGTCCACCTTCAGGACAGAGCTGGTCAGATACCAGCAGGACACCTTTCCCCTAAGTGATGAAGAGTTAGATGTGGAAAAATACAGGAAGTGCTCAGAACCAAAAGCAGTCCAGCCAGTAAAGAGCACACGGAGATGATGTAACCGGGTCTGAGGCGGCATCAGAACCACAAACAAGTTCTAGAGCAGGGGCCACCAACTCCGGTCCTCGAGGGCTACCATCCTGCACGTTAGCCGTTTCTCTGCTCCTGCACACCTGACTGAAATGAATGCGTAATTATCAGGCCTGTGCAAAGTTAAACATGCTAAGGAGAGGACTGAATGACTCCATTCAGGTATGGAAGAGCAGGAAACACAGAAAACTAGCTGGACGGTAGCCCTCGAGGACCGGATCACCCGAACCCTAAAACGATTCAAGTTCTCACATTTCAGCGTTGACAGCTGACTGACCCGGCCACATACGTCTTATGAAAGTAAGACACTACAGTGTTCTTTTATAATTGTCATAAGCACAGCAACATGGTGCAAACAGCTCAAATCAGCTGTCAGCACGGCGGTGGAGGGATGATTATATGGGCTTGTTCTGCAGGTTCAGCAGCTGGAGACACCAGTCACTTGTGAGTTCTGTCATAAAACAGGAACGATGGAACAGGAACCGATGTGCAGCAGCGGTCCAGTCAGCAGCCAGACCGCGGTGGGACCACCTTAACGGAGCCGAGCA